ATTCAACACTGAACCAGGCTACATTTTATTTCTGATGAACCATATATAGTGTCTCTTTGACATTAAATGAATTTTATGATATTCTTTTTGTGACATTCTTTTTATGACATTGAAAGAATTTTGGGCTGGGGATGTAGCTCAAGCGGTAGCACACTTGCCTGGCATGCCTGCGGCCTGGGTTCGATTCTCAGCACCACATACAAACAAAGATGTCGTGTCCACTGATAACTAAAAAAAAAAAAAAAAAAATTAAAATTCTCTCTCTCTTTAAAAAAAAAAGAAAGAATTTTATGCACTGGAAGTAGAAGTAGGTAGAAAAAAATCTGGTTTTGCATGTGCAACTCATTTATAAAAGAATTCAGTCCATTTTTTCTTTTTTAATTGAGAATTAGACTAATAATCCTTGATTTTATTGATGCTAACTGTAGAATTATTTTAAGTACTTATTGAGTGGTAGCTATTTGCAGGCATTATGTTAAGCCCTTTGGAAAATACTTGGAAAAAAGATGTATATTACATTCTTAGTGCGTGAACTAAAGAGTACTAAAGAGTAGAAGATGAGTCCAAAAGAGCAAATGAGATGTAAGGCATATACAGATATTTGCATTACATGGCAGTATGCTGTAGAAACTATAATAGAAAATTCAATTAAGTGAAAGAGAAAACAATCCAATTTGGGACAATTGAGGATGGTGACATAAAGGATCATGGAACTATGCCTTGAAGAGTGAGTAAGATTTTTGGTAGACAGCTGAGTAGAAGAGTGTGTCCTCACCAAAATAAACTGGTATAGAGAGCTGAGATGATCTTCAGGGAAGTTCAAGTGTACCAGTTTTACTAAGAAAAGTGTTGCATTTTAGAGAAATGGAAAAGGATATGGCAAATATAAGTAGAAGTAAGATTATAAATTCTCATCTAAGCAAGATCTGAGTGTTATTGTAGATTTTGGGATATGAAACTAACAAGCAAAAATATATTCAGAGGGAATATGCAGATGTGAAAGATACTGTAGATTGGGAAGGAGACTCATGTTGAAATATAATAACTATTATACATATCCTAATAGAGGATGTTAGGGCTCTGAAGTGGGTAACGGCAATCCAAATGGGGCAGATGAAAAAGAGATTATGAGAAAGAATGCACAAGATTTAGTAAATGGGTTAGGTAAAACTAAAAATCCATATGACTGGCTGGGTACAGTAGTGCAGGCCTGTTATCCCTGTGGCTCAGGAAGCTGAGACAGGAAGATTGAGAGTTCAAAGCTAGCCTCAGCAAAAGTGAGGTGCTAAGCAACTCAGTGAGACCCTTTCTCTAAATAAAATACAAAATAGGACTGGGGATGTGGCTCAGTGGCCAAGTGCCCCTGAGTTCAATCCCTGGTCCCCCCCCCCAAAAAAAAATAATGGATTTTTAATAAAAATTTTCAGATCAAGGGGAGAAGTTCATTTTTGTGACCAAATATAATGAACTAATTCCCTACCTTTTAACAAATCTTTTCCACCTGTATGGCAGCTATGTCAATAAAATAGCAAAGACAGAATATTTTCATAATTCTCTGTGAATTGTAGTCTTTGTATTACAGAGCCATTGTAAGGATAGTCATTCTTATTTTTGCTCAGGTATTATGACAGGGGAGGAGGGGAGAGTGTGTATGGTGGAATTAGAAAAAAAAAGTGTTCTTTCCAAATGTCATGACAAATAGTCAGAATTTAGCTTTAGATTTGAGAAAGTAATTCACTTATAAATGATAACCTATCAAAAGTCTTAATGATGTTAAATGAAACTAAGTTGGTGAAAAATGCACCTGTATGCTAGGAACTAGGAGATAAGTGATAGAATTTTTGTTGTTGAAGCAAAACATGAACATACAATATATCTAAAATTAAAACTGCTGTTCCTTCATTCTCATAATTTCAGTAGTTCAGCTGTGTTTCACTTCATCCCACTTACATATACACTTTCTTGAGTGGGAAGAAAGAAAGGGAATGAAAACAAAAAGAGCTATTTATAATTAGTGCGGGGAAAGCTTAGAAGAAAAAATGAGATGATGCTGTAGAATTGTTAAAATAGCTTTAAAAATGATGATTTGTTATTTTAAAGAGTGCAGACAGTTGTGGGTTTTTGCCCTATATACCATCAGGTAGCAAAGTGGTGCTATCAAATTGTAGACTAAAGCATGAAGGATTTCACTGACAGGTGGTCATCACTAGAAATAGATTAGTAACTCTGATATCATGTATCATATTACTTTATCACAATGAACAGTCTCCTTTTGTGTTACATTTTGAAGTGTTTCTATTTGTTCCTTGTAATGATTTGGATTATATATAATTATAGTCCCCTTTATCTGAAAAGCACACATTCTATGACCCCTCTGGGGGATGCCTAAAACCAAGGACCCATGGGAAAAACACTGTGTACCTATCCCTGTGTGTACTGTTTTGTCCTTTAAACCCATAACACAAATCTAATGCCTTTACCAGCTTCACTAAGCACTTGACTCTACTGTGGGCTATAACTTTTGCAGCTTGAGGTGCAGCAGCAAAACTAGTATGAATTTCTTTTTCCTTCTTTACAATGTCATGGGTAGATTTGTTTTTATCATAGGTCTTAGCAACTTCAGCATCAAGTCAAGAACTTTCACCTTTTCACTTAAAGGAAGCAGTTTATAGCTTCTCCTTTTTGTGTCTTAATTGCCGGCAACACTACTCCTGCCCTTTGGGATCATTATTAAGTAAAATAAGGACTACTTCAACACAAGCAGTACGATACAGCAAGTTTATCTGATAACCAAGATGACTACTGTGGGAAGTGTATGCAGAGTGGTCCCACAGAATGAAGGGAATGATTTAAGTCCTGGGTGGTATGGAGTGGGATGACCAGAGATTTTATTGTGCTATTCAGAATGGTAATCAATTTAAAACGTATGCATATTTTCTGACTTCCATTGACTTTCAGGCAACTGAACTCCTGAGACACAAAACCATGGATAAAGGGGACTACTGTATTTAACTGCTTTCTGTTACTTTAATAAAACACTCGTGGCAAGATAATTTTAAAAATTTAATGTAGTTTATAGTTTCAGAAGTTTAAAGGCCAAGACTAAGTGGGGTGGAGAGCATTGGTTAGATCTCTGGCAAAGGCCCAAAGGTAGATGGCTTCATGGCAGGGGCACATCTGAGAACAAGAGACTCTGCAGTCTCACAGTCGCTTCCAAAAGCATGTGACTGACTTCTTTAAGATCTCCCTCTTAGCCAGGTGTGGTGGTGCACACCTGTAATCCCAGTGGCTACGAAGGCAGAGACAGGAGGATCAGAGGATTGAGAGTTCAAAGCTAGCCTCAGCAACAGTGAAGCACTAAGCAACTCAGGGAGACCCTGACTCTAAGTAAAATACAAAAAGGGCTGGGGATGTGCTCAGTGGTTGAGTGCCCCTGAATTCAATTCCTGGTCCCCCCCCAACCCCCGGCCAAAAAAAAAATCTCCCACTTAACGGTTTTACACTGTTTTCTAATGCTGCATCAGGAGACCAGGCTTCCAGTATTGGAACCCTTAGGGACAAACCACAGTGAATTGCCTTTGGAAACATGAACTTGGCCGTTGTCAGGGTGAAGATTTTCTGGTTCTGTATTTCCCTAAGTACACTAGTGATCTGTGCTTATAAAGAAGATTAATAAAGAACCTTAATTGATCCCAATTAAGTCAGGATCAATCAATTCAGGAAATTGCTGAGTTTAGACACATTAAACAAGATTTTTATTATGGTGGCAGTGATGGAGGGGAAGATGTTTCTGAGACTAATATGCTAATCTGATTGGCCCAAGAAGAAACATATAGGATTTCACAAACTTATTTTACCACGAATTCTTGTTTCTGTGGAGTCTTTTTCAGATTTATTGTTAACTCAGAATTCAAATGGCTTGAATATACAGACAAATAGAAAGTAAATTAAATAGTTTATTCAAAGCTTACTTGAAGAACTGGATTTGAACCAAAGTCTTCTACCATATTGTATTTCTTTCTTTTGCCCCTTCCCCCCAGATGCAGAAAAGTCTCTTCAAACTACATGGTATTCCAAGTTAGATTTGTCAATTGTACATAAAAGGATTTGAAGAAGAAATAAAACTAATTACTGAATTATTTTTAGTAGATTTTGAATTGGCATATTGACTTTGATGAAAATAGTAGGATTAAAACAGCCAATGAGCATTTGACATTAAAGTTACAGTTTTGTCATTTGGAAATTAAATTTTTTGCAAAACTCAGCAGTTTTCAAATTATAAAAAGCTCAAAAAGTGCAGTAAAGTGTATATAGAAAACTTTCCTACCTTCCTAGACCAGGATTGAAGAAAATGACTCTTTATGATTTAGTGTCTTGTTCCAAATCCCATCTCTGCAGAAATAACATATGTCTTTTTAAAAAAATGACATAGATGGCATCATGGTACACATATTGTTCTTTAGCCTTAACCTTTTACTCAGTAGTATTATGTGCTCATCTTCCCACATAAATACATGTAGAACTAAAGAAAAACAACAACAACAAAATCTTAATGACTTTATAATATTATATTATTTGGCTTTATTGTAATTAATGTAATCATTGGGATTAAATAGACCTTAGGGTAGTTATGATTTTTTTTTGTTGTTGTTAACCAAACGGTACTATGATGGTCCTTTTTTTTCTTTGAACTTTGTGTAAGTTGTTTATAGTAGAATTCTTGTAGAATTGCTGAAAGCTTTATAGTTTGGAAATAAAAGAAATGGTAAATATCTAAGTAAATATACAAAAAAAGAATTGCTGGGTCAAAGAATATGCACATTTACATTTTTGTATGTATTGCTAAACATTATAATAATGTCACTGAACTTTAAAAAACCTATACTTTTGTAATGGATCACAAGATATCTTACTTTGTTAATTTTAAAATTATTGAGAGAAATTATAAATAGGTGATAATGATGATCTTGCTCTCCCTGTTCATTTTCCCTTCTTTATAGAGCAAACTATTCATGGAAGGATTTAGAAGTCTGAAAGAAGGTGAACCAGTGGAATTCACATTTAAAAAATCTTCCAAAGGCCTTGAATCAGTACGGGTAACAGGACCTGGTGGGAGCCCCTGCTTAGGAAGTGAAAGAAGACCCAAAGGGAAGACACTACAAAAAAGAAAACCAAAGGGAGACAGGTAATCTTTATCACTTGGCTAATTTATGAGTTATATTTGGAAAAGCATTCTAATATTTCCTTATTTTTATTATATTATTGGACTTCATCTAGTACCAAAAGAAAACACCACTACTGTGTAATTGAATAGCAAATATCAAGAATATAGTCAGTTCTGCAATTTGAATTATCTGCAGAGAGTGCTAAACTGAGTATTTGGCATGAAACACTTCATAGTCCCTTGACCACCAAAAAAAGTATAGTTTTTTTTTTTTCACCAGACTGTTCTGAGACCCCACATAGGGAGCTGAAGTTCCCAGTAGACAGAGGTGCTCTTCATACATCCAAAATTTGCCAGCACTTCACCTGTTTTTTCAGATGAAAATATACTGATGGTTTTGTTTGTTTTTAAAAGCCAGTTCACATATGAAAAATCTAAACAACATAAAAAACTAAAGGAAGGAAAAAAATAATTTGAAATCCTAACTATAGGTGGGAATCATAAAATATATGCTGTTTTGAAACTTGTAAATCTTTTTCACTTAATAATATATCAGACTCTTTCATGTCAATCATTAACATTTGCATAAATTTCCACCATTGGACATACCAGAATTTAATTTAAATGAACAATACTATGTTAATGGATATTTAGGATAATTTTAGTATTTTGAATTACCAATAATAGCACTGTGCAAGTCGTTTCATGTGCAGTTTTGAAAAGTCTGATTGAATTCTTAGAAGAAATATTTAATAGAGAAAATTTGGATTAAAAAAATTGATGCTTTAAAATGTTTGTTGCCTATTTCCCACCTGCTGTCCAGAATCATGAAGGCCAAAATACAGCCCCTCCAAAAGTCAAACAGCTCTCACCAAATGTTGTCATTTGTTTAATCTTAAGAAATTAAGATTGTTCCACTTTGCATCCTTTGATGACCTTAGAAGTTGAAAGGTTTTTATGTTGGTATTCATCTTCAATTTTTATTCTACAAATTGCGTTTTTCTAATTCTTTGACCTTTGATCTATTGATGTTCATTTGTTATTACTGACTTGTAATTTCTCTGTATATTTAGGATGTGAATCTTTGGTCTCAAATAAAAAATCAGAAATATTTTTAAACTAACGAAATATATTTTAATTTTAATGATAGTGTTTTTTAAAAATAGTATTAAAGTTTTGAACTTTTATAGGAACATGTTTGTGACTTTCTCCATAATACTATCTGACTTTAGTTGCTATCTACCTTCCAAACTACAAAGTTAAAAATATATCATTATGGGGCTGGGTGTAGCTCACTGGTAGAACATGTGCTTATTAGCATGTGTGAGGCCCCAGATTTAATCCCCCAACACACACACACACACACACACACACACACACACACACACACACAGAAAGAAAGAAAAAAGCACACTATATACATCAATATTTTCTCATACTATTTTTGTTTACCTTTTAAATATTACTCTCTCTCTCTCTCTTCATTATTTTTGTTTTTGAAGAGAGAGAAGGCTATATGGATCTAACTTTTCTTTCCCTTCCAAACAGCTAGCTACTTATCATTACTGCATTTATTTCCTGGTCAGTATTTTCTCAATGATTTGAAAAGCTCTCCAGTAAGAGAATAAGTTATTTCTATCCCACATTTTTCAGAGCACATTTTGTACTAAAGAAAATCGATGAATATGTTTGAAAGTTTAATGATACACTTAACTAATTGGAGTGGTTTTCTGCTCCCTGAGAGATGATAATGATGATGACAATAATAAAATACAAGTAAAGCAAAGTAAAATAAAATAAAACAATCCTTTATTTTTTATATTAAATGTTTAAAAGTATAGTTCTTTTTTTTTAATTGGTACTAGGGATTGAATGTCAGGGCACTTTACACTTGAGCCACATCCCCAGCCCTTTTTATTTTTTTATTTTAAGACAAGGTCTAAGTTGCTAAGATTAGCCTCAAACTTGTGATCCTCCTGCCTCAGCCTCCCAAGTCATTTGGATTATGGGTATGAGCTATTTCGCCTGAATAACAGTATAGTTCTTAATGCCTTATATGTTTTCTTATTTGGAATCAGTAAGGGGGAGGATGGTGGAGGCTGAGAGTTAAAGCATAAGACAGCAAGTCATTCCTTCATATAGGGGTTTGTCAATCATTGGAAGAACTTTGATTTTGGAGGAAATGAGAAGTCATTGGAAATTTTTAAGTTAAAAAGTAGTGTAATATGACTTACCTCCTTAAAGTATCATTCTGGCAGCTGTGATTACAGCATAATTTGAGAGGTACTGTTGGAAACTGAGAGATCATTAACGAGGCTTTTCCAATGCTGTGGGAAAGAGATGGTGGTGGTTTGGACTGGGACGTTAGCTGTAGAAGTGGTGAGCGAAAATTCCAATATGTTTTGAAGGTGGAGACGGCAGGATTTACTGGTGGATCAGAAGTGGACTGTGAGAGAAGAAGAGTCCAGGATGACTCCAAGGTTTGTTTGGTCTGGGCAACAGGAAAAGTGGAGGGAGCATTTACCAAGATGGGGAATACTGCAGAAGGAACAATAAATCGAAAGTGTGGTTTTGGATATATTTAGTTGGAGAGACATAATAACCATCCAAGTGGAGATGTAGATTAAGCAAATGGATTAAGCATATGGAGTTCTCTGCCTGGAGATGAAATTATTTAGAGAAAAGATGATACTTGCAGCTATAATATTAGATGAGATTACCATCAAAATAAGTATATATAGAAAAGAGGACCGAGTCCTGAGCATGCTAAGCATTGAGAAGCAAGAATAGCAAAAGGCATGAAGGAGAGAAGCAGGAGGAAAATCAAGAAGGGATTTTGTTTTAGAAGGAAAGAAACAGTTTCAAAAAGGGGAGATTATCAGGGATGTTCAGTGGTATTATGAGCAAGTAAAATGACCACTGAAACCTGAACTGCTTAGTAACACACAAGTCATTAGTAAAGTTGGCTGGTTTGGTGAACTAGTGGGACTTAATGCCTACCTGGATTGTGTTCAACAGAGAATTAAAGGACAGGAAGAGATAGCAAGTATAACCTATAAGTGACATTTACCGGTAAGTAGGCTGTAAATGAAGCCATAGCCCAAGGGAAGAAATTATAGCATGTTTATGTGTTGATGGGAAATGATCTAATAGAAAGGAAAGATTAAACATGCAGGGGAGAAGAGGACAGTTGCTCCAGTGATTTCTTTGGGTAGAAAGATTGGGATTTAAAGCAAACTGGGAGAGCCTGTTGTGAATATAGCTGGTTCATTCTTTGAAACTCAGGCAAGGCACAGCCTACAGGCACAGATACAGGTAGGTAGGCAGATAAAAAAGTGGGATAAAGTAAGATTTCTCACCATTTTATACTGTTTGTTTAATGAAATTTGAAGCAAGATCATTTATTGAGAGTGATGGTAAAAGGAGATTAGGAGATTTAATAAGGAGAAAGTATGAAATAGGAAAATAGAAGAGTGAACACATTGTGGAAAAGGGGAAGAAAGAGTTCCAAGCCATACCAAAGATCCACTTAAAGTTAGTGGACATGAGTTTAAAGTCAAGTCAGTTGATATGATTCTGTTTTCTCCTTCGTTGACTTCATGATTATGGATGTGAAATAGGCATTAAAACAGAATTATCTACAGTTGGTAGGTAAACTATTTTTTTTCTAATTGAGAAAGAAAAGGAAGAGAAACAAAGGATTGGAAGGTGAAGGGAACAATTATAATGATGGAAAATATGAGCTAAACTGGGTAAGGAATGAAGACATTGAAAAGGTATTAGGCTCATGGACATAGGTTGCAGTGGGGTCAAAGAATTATAGTTGGGATCCTAGAAGAATGACCTAGCAAGACAGGAGGGGGTGTTAGTCAAAGGTGAATTACTGCGCCAACCACTGACATTAATTGCATGTCTTATTGTGGTTAAAGCTTTGATACGTTTGATATTTAATGATTTTCAACTATCTGTTTAAAGTTTAGGATGCCCATGATCTTTGTCACTCTAGTTTTCCATGTGCCACTATTTATAATCTGTAATAAAATATTAAAATAAGCATTGTGACAACTGACTATAAACTGAAATAAATAGAAAACAAGGTTTGACAGTGTGGTGTCTGAAGATGGGTCTTTATCAACTGATGGCTGGAACAGTTAGTTACCAAGGTACTGATTTGTTCCCTGAATCTTTAAAAGGCTTCAGATATCTTTAATGAATTTCTTGAGTTCTTCTGTGGATATTAACCATATCTATTTTCTGAAACAGTTCTATTAATGAGAATAAAATTATATTTTGATTCATACTTCATGTTTATTAGCATAATTATATAAAGTATCCTAAAAAATCTTATTCTGGATTCTCTAGTTATTGTCATATTCATTATTTATTTTATTGTATTTCAAAGAACAAAGTACTGTATTAATATGTTACACTATTTTTTCCTAATTTATTCTGTGATTATTCTTAATATTTCCTTTCCATTCATTTTATTTTTTACCAAAATTTAATGAATGTTTGTCAATGGGTATGCACAGTCCACGGGTCTAAAGAGTTACATGGGACTGTGGTAGAAATTTAAAATAGGGCAGATGCTAAAGGAAATGTTACTTATTGTCATCATCTGATCAGTCTCTTCCTTCAAGAATGCCTTAGCATATTTCTCTGCTTCTTCCCTCTGTTGGAACCATTTCATGTCTTCCTTTAGATAATTTACCACTTCAGCCAAGTTCTAGTTTGTTTTAGTCAGCTTTTTCGTTACTGTGACCAAAAGACCTGGCAAGAATAAATAGAAGGGGGAAAGTTTATTTGTCTCACACTTTTAGAGGGCTCAAAGGGCTCAGTCCATACATAGCCAGTTCCATTACTCTGGGCCTGTGGTGAGGCAGAACATCAGGGTGTGGCAGAGGATGTAGCAGAGGAAAGCAACTACAGACATGCATCAGAAAGCAGAGAGCTATTTTTACCTTTTTAAAAAGTTTTTATCTTTTTGGATTGAATCCAGGGCCACTTAACCACTGTGCAACACCCCAGCCCTTTTTTATATTTTATTTAGAGACAAGGTCTCACTTTGTTGTTGAGGTCTTACTAAATTGCTGAGGCTGGCTTTGAACTCACAATCCTTCTGCTTCAGTCAGTGCCTCATGCATGCTAGGCAAGCACTCTACCACTAAGCCACAACCCCAGCCCTGGTTTTGTTTTGTTTTTTTTTTTAAATGAGTTATAATCTGTAGCTATCCAGATTTATTGTAGAGTGTAAATTTCCCACATTTGGATGACTTCTGGATCCTTTAGATAGGTCCCTTTCATTTTTTGAGAACTTGCTGGTATAAAACACTTTCATACTCATAGTCCACAAAATATTTAAAATAGTGTTATTAAATGATTGGTTTGGTTTGCTGAAGTGCTTGAAAGCTAGAGTCCAGTTAATTTATATTAAAAGAGAAGTAAATACTGTTATATTTCTATATGTTTCGTTTGCCTGGAACATTGTTTTTATTTTATTTTGAATGGCTGTATAGTAAAATTAACCTTTTGTTTTGTTTTGTTACTGGGGATTGAACTCTGGGGCACTCGGCCACTGAGCCACATCCCCAACCCTATTTTGTATTTTCATTTAGAGACAGAGTCTCATTGAGTTGTTTGGTGCCTTGCTTTTGCTGAGGCTGGCTTTGAACTTAAGACCCTCCTGCCTCAGCCTCCCGAGCTGCTGGAACATCACCATGCCTGACAACTTTTTTCTCTGAGTATGCAGTTCTGTGAATTTTAATACATGTATATATTCCTGTATTTGCCAACGTAGTCTGTATTCAGAACAATCTTATCACCCGCCAAAACCCAGCCTCTTGCTATCTTTTATAGTTATCCTGCCTCCAACCATATATCCTAGCAACCACTAACTTGTTCTCTTTCACTATACTTTTATCTTTATGAGCAACATCTAAAAGGAATAACACATTTTTATTTAACATAATGCCTTTGAAATTCATTCACACTGTTTAATGTATCAATAGCTCATTTACAAAAATGCTGAGTGTTATTCCTTCATGGGGGTAGAACACTGTTTATATGTTCATCTGTTGGGTGTTTTCCAGTTGTAGCAGTTATGAACAGAGCCACAGCACAGACTTGTGTGAAGATTAGTTTTCATTTTTGGAGTGAGATTGCTGAATTGTGTGGTCATGGTCATATTTTTAAACTTATAGGAAACTGCCAAGTTGTTTTCCAGAGTGTGTGTACAATTTTTAATCTCCCACCAGCAATATATGAAAGTTCTACCTGCTACACATCTTTGCTAGCATTTGGTATTGTCACTTTAAAAAAATTTTTATATTAACCATTCTAATGGGCATGTAGTGATGTCTTATCGTGGTTTTAATTCTCATTTCCATAGTAGTTACTGATACTGAGCATATTTTTATGGTTTTTCAATATCCTTTTTGATGACATGTCTGCTCTGGTCTTTTGCCCATTTTTCACTTTTTTTGTGTGTGTTTTAGAGAACTCTTCATAGACATTGTGGATACAAGACTCTGCTAGAAATATAACTTGCACATAGCTTCTTCAAAGACAAGTCTGTGGCTTGTCTTTCCAGTCACTTAAATATTTCTTATAGAGTAGAAGTTTTAGTTTTGATGAAGCTAATTTTTTCACTTTTATTTGATTTCATGTTTATTTGATGTCATGTGTAAGAATTCTTTATTTAATCCTAAGTCACAAAGATTTCCTTCTGTGTTTTCTCTAGTATTTTAATACTTTTACATTTTCCTATTTATCCATGATCCATTTAGAGTTAGTTTTTGTAATAAAGTGTGAGGCTTAGGTCAAGATTGATTTTTTTACCTGTGACTATTATACCATTTGTTGAATATTCTTTCTCCTACAGTGATTTTTAGATCATAAAGTTTAACTTCTGTCATTTCAAATTAAAAAGTAGAAATTTTGAATTTTTGATTACATGGAATTTTTTTGTTTAACAAATTCAAAATCTGGCCCATCTCTCAAGAGAACTTACTGTTAGAACCATATTTTCTGTGGAAAAAATATAGTATTAAGGATTGTACCTTAATTATTAACTATATATATATATTAAGTGGGATTATTTTTTCACTGTTTTATTTTTTTTTCACTGTTTTAAAGTTCTGCTGAATTTAATATCTAACTCCTAGTGTCCAGTTATTCAGTAATAGTAAAAGTTGTATTTTATTTAAAATTTTCCAGATTTGAGAAGTTTCTTAAAATTTCAAATGAAATAATTTTAGATTTATTCTGCTTAGTTTTTCTTAGTTTATTTTAAAAAGTAGGACATTTAATGGCTTTATAGAGCTTTCTTTATAATAAAATGAAGATGATTGTAACTAAAAGATTTTTTAAAAATTATGTTTCTTCTAAAAAGTTGTCCTATACTTGGTAACATTTAAGAAAACACAATTTACTGTGAGGAAAAAGAAGTAATTTCTAACAGTAAAATTGTAGGGGAGGGTAA